ATAATATTGATAAAAAGTAGCTGATTAATCTAAACAAAACATTTAATTAAAACACAGGGATTCAAACCGTGATTACGAAAAAGACACTTAATGATCATATAGTTGTATATTTATAGATATATACGATAAATGAAAATAGATGGAAGATGACTTCAGTGAAACAAGTTAAAAGCCCAATTAGGACCGAAAATTCTTAATTCTTCTTGAAATTTCAATGACAAGTGACAACTATGACGCTTTAAGCCCATTTTATCCCCAAGCTCAATTATAGATCGAGATCCAGACTGATTAAACCTGAGCTAGAGATTGATTATAAAGTCAAATTCAGAGTTATGATTAAATCTTTATTTTTGCACCTTGCCAGATGATAGAGATGGTTAAACTAAGCCTTGGCCATGATTAAATCTTTATCGGTTTTTTTTTTTTTTTTTTAATTTTTCTTAAGTTTTTATAAGGTATAATACAAGTTTTTATAGGATTTTCAAGTAAATGTATTTCAATGCTAAATTTCAAAAACTATGATTATAAAAACATGTATAATATGTTGGTGTAAAAAAAATTAAAAAAGAGAATTAAAACAGGATCGGGCCCAATTCTGGATTTGGGAATGCTCCGATGAGACTAGGGCTGATTATTAAGCATAAGACCAGTCACAAAATTTTGGTTCAAGACTACGATCATGGCCAACTTGCTTGATTTTGAAGGGAAGGATTTGGGATTGGCCATGCTCGATTAAAGCCCCATCTCTACCCAATGATAAAATCTAGGTTACAAGCTTGGGGACTGATATTTCGGGGACCTAGGCCCAAACGGTTAATCTTTCAATAATACGCTTCCGATCGTTTCAATTTCATAATCTCTAGTCTCTAACGTTCTTTCAATTCCTGATATTGTTAACAATTTGGCATTCACAATTGTTTACTTGTTCATCATCTTAAATTCTCGAGTCCCCTTTTCTTGAGACTATTTGATTTTTATTTCCAATAATAAAAAATGGCACACTTACGCTGAAATGGTTAAATATCTGCTCAGATCCTGGCCAATCCGACTTCATTTTTAGATCTTTTGTTTTGTAGAAACATGTAAACTGTTTCCAACCATAAAATGTAAAGCTCTACATACAATGATTAGTGCAACTTGATGTAACTATAATCAATTTTATTGTGTCAGACAAATCCGCTATTTTATTTTATTTATAAGTTTAAAATAATCAAATATCGAGAAGCAAATAAGAGTTGTTACAACAAAACTGATTTTTAAGAATATTGCAAAATTGTCTCGAACTTTAATAAAATATATTAGAGCGAATTACACTGTTGGTCCATGTTGTTTCTCGAAATTTGGATTTGGTCCTTAAAATAAACTATCTATTTTCATGGTTCTTAACTTTTCAATTTCATAACACTCATGGTTCTTAGAGTTAACATCGTTAGTTAACAACCGTTGTGACGGACAAATTAGTCTTTAGACAAAGTGCAGGGACCAAAAGTGTAATTCCCTCTAAAATGAAAAATAATTCACATTCTTTCTAATTTCTTTTCTAAAATTATTTTATTTATCCAATCACAAATCAAATTTCTTAAATTAAAGTGGATTAAAAAAATATATATATTTTATAAAAAAAACTATTAAATTAACAATATAACTTCTATGATATAAACTTTCAATACTTTTTTGGATAAAAACGTTTTCTTTATAATTGCTCATATAATTACCCATTATTCTTATAAGATTTAACGATAATTATCTTAATTGATTGAATAATCAATGTTTTTTTTTTTAATTTTTATAGCAGTTGTATATATCCAAAATGTTATTTTTTTGGGGTTTTTATTTTAATTATTTATAAGTGTGAATATATATTATTTCTAAAACATTAGTTATGTGATTGAGTGTGTGATGCATAGAATATAATCAGGAAGCATTAATGCTTTCTTTTAGTGTTTATATTTGTGATACCATTTTCTACCATTAACTTTGAAGCTCTTATGGAATATGCATTTTCTGACTTGGTGGGATTGAAAAATTAAAATTAAAAATTGTTTTTTCACCTACAGTAACGATCAGTCGTCGCTATAGGTGTATAATTTTTTATTTTTGACGTATAGTGACGACTTGTCACTGTAGTAGCTAAAAAATATAACTTTTAGCTTTTAATTATAGCCGCAACAAGTCATCGCAATAGGTAAATTTTTTTTTTTTTACTTTTTATGTATTGCGACGACTTGTCATCATAGGGAGCTACAATTACGAGCCAATAGTGATGGAGTCTATAGCGACAACAGTTGTCGCAATAGAACTATAGTGACGAAAATTGGAGCATTAGCGACGACTTTTATCGTCGCAATAAGTCGATTTCTTGCGATGTGTATGTGTATATGTATACAGGTCTCTTTGTATACGAAAGAAATGCATCATTGTAAAGATTAAAATGATTTATTGACCGGTTACAAACGCTATGAAGAAAAATAAAAATCATTAAAAGTAAATGTCTAACCGATCATAAATTAATTACCAGCATTTTTATTGGCCAACAGTAATCAGCCAAGCTGTTAGTAATGGTGGCACTTTAGCAACAAATTAGTGACGGAATCTTTTGTCGTTAATTCCTTGACAGTTTGTCAATATTTTGTCAGTAACGTTCGATTTATGTATATGATGCTACATACTGTAACACTCCAAAGCTCAAAGCAACATGTTGGCTCAAAAACTACGAATCTAACTTAAAACCATTGTGAAAATATTAGCCCACAACTCGAGGAACTCACAAATCTCATTTCCTATCTATTTGGGACGAGTTGTTACAAACTCCTCAGCTTAAACTCCAAACGTCCTCGTCAGCCCCCCATAATCTTCCTCTTGGTAATTGGCAATAAGTATTCACCTAAGATGTCATAAACACCCTTTCAAAGACTCATTATACCCCATGAGGATTGTCCCACCATTCCTATGCAATGATCTTTATGAAGTTCTTAGTAAAGTCTTGGCTGATAGGATTATTAAAGGAATTTTTGATTTGATTGTGGATGAAAATCAGTCTACCTCTATCCCTCAAAGGCAGATACTGTTAACTGGGATTTTCTAAGAAATAGAAAATCTGTAGGGTTATCATATACAAAGAGAGCAAAAGAGATGTGCTTTCCATAATTGACATACAGAAAGCTTACGACACTGTTAACTGGGATTTTCTAAGAAATAGCTTGAAATCCATATTATTCACTTTAGTGATGGAAGTTTGTGATTTGATTTTGAAAATGAAAATGAAGATAAAGAAGGAAGAAGGGTTCAAGAATTAAAGATAATGGGAGCTTCTTTCAAGAAAGGGATGGATTTTAATCAAGTCATGGGGAATTGGGGTTTAAAGATTAAAACTCATGATGATGGATTGTAGGGATAATTTTGAAGGATGGATCAATTTGATGAGGGATTGTTGATGGTTTTAGAGAGAACTTTCTCTTTGCTTTTGAGAATCCTTAGGCTTAGGGTGGGTTATTAAGGGGTGGATCTGGATTGGGTTTTTGACTGCAGTTTGTACTTGAATATCTTTTGTATCTGTTTGTTCAGTTAATTCTACGCCTTTTCCATTGCTTTGCGAAGAATCTCAATTTATTAATTGGCCGGCTATAAATAAATTATGCAAGAATGTTAGGGTTTCCATAAGGCTTTTCAATTCGTGTGATAACAATGCTAAGTTATGTATCTATAGAATTAATTTATTCAGTAAATTCATCTGTATTTCCTCGTTTCCTTACGATCGGCTTTCAATTATTATTTTACAGTCACTATTTATTTCCTGATTATCCCTGGTGTAAATAGCCTAATCTTGGTTCTGATTAGTTATTGTTCTGAATGGGAAGGATTAAGGGGATGAAGGAGACTTATGTTTATGGAAATATGGATTGGGCTTTTTCCATAATTAGATTATGGATATGGACCAGAAAATGGGTCCAATATTGGGCTATTAACTTTATTATTGGTTTTAGATATCCAAAATATTTTTTGGGTGCTCATTTTGTATCTCTTTTCTCTGTAGTACCAGTACTAGTCGCAGTCCCAGTTTCTCTCTATATGAAACAAGTTGTTACACGTACTGTATCAAAAAACCCGTTGCTAATTAGTAATTACCAACATAAATAGTTTGTACTTGGGTAATATTTGTCGATAAAATTGTGTTTTCTTGTAGTGACAATTACCAATATTGAAAATAAAGATGACTCTTTCACGGTCTTAATTTTTAGGAGTTATAAACAAATTGGTATACATAATAATTTACTATTTATGATTTTAAGCAAATTTTAAGGTTGAAATCAAACATTTCAGCAGAAGCTAAATTAAAAGATAATCGATTCACATCTTAACTTGCAAAATAGTCGGTAGAAGTAGAAGACTTCAACATTTCATGAGCTTGGTGATCTGGCTCGTTCCTGACATTTTATTGTCTTTGGACAACATGTAAAAGAGGGCCCTCGATAAAAATATCTTCAATTTATTGTCTTTACCATCAAAATCAACATTGTATTCAAGAAATATTAATATTTCATATAAAACCGTTTTTTCGAGTATTCCTAGACATAAAATCAATGAATAATTATTTCTAAATAAATATTATCTACCATATCATTTTTATATAGCATCACCAATCCATTAATTCTACCATTGGAAACATGTATTGATATACCTTTAATACATAGATTCACTAAATAAATATTAACGAACCGCTCCTCCATATTTCTATTTATATCATTTCAAAAATCAGAACATAAATTACTTCAAATTGTGGACTTGTAAATTCTTTAATGTAAAATGGGTGCCTTTTATTACGGATAAATTGTTTGAAAACATCGAAAATTTCAAATCTGTTGGATCATACAAGTCATAGTTTAAAACCTTGAATCTGATTGGCTCCAATATATTCGGAATTAGGGTTACCATCTTCCACCCTACCAAATACATATACAGATTTGCATTTTCATCAACTGTTGTATACTAATAATTCAAATATGGACGGTCTGAAACCGGCGGAAGCCATCGCCACCGTGGCAACAAAAGTTAGCCCGTCGGCGAAGAAGGCACTCCTCATTCTCAACTGCATTCTCTTGGGTCTCGGAAACTGCGGTGGCCCATTATCCATGCGACTCTACTTCATCCATGGTGGCAACCGTGTTTGGCTATCCGCTTTCTTGGAGACCGCCGGCTGGCCGTTCATCCTTGTCGTCCTTATCGTTCTTTACGTCTGCCGACGGTGTTCATCCACCACCTCTGTAACAGTCATTCATATGCGTCCAAGGGTGTTCTTCGCGGCGGCGATAATTGGTGTCCTCACCGGACTCGACGACTACCTTTATGCATGCGGCGTCGCTCGCCTCCCTGTCTCCACCACCTCCCTCATTATCGCCTCTCAGCTCGGTTTCACGGCGTTGTTCGCGTTTCTGTTGGTCAAACAGAAGTTTACACCCTACTCCATTAATGCGGTGGTGCTTTTAACCGTGGGTGCGGCGGTGCTGGCGTTGCATACGAGCAGCGACCGTCCTAATGGGGAGTCGAAGGCGGTGTATTTGAAAGGGTTCTTTCTGACGATGGCGGCGGCAGCGTTGTACGGGCTGGTGTTGCCGATGGTGGAGTTGACGTACAACAAAGCGAAGCAGGCGATTACGTATACGCTGGTGTTGGAGATTCAGATGGTGATGTGTCTCTTTGCTACCATCTTTTGTACCATAGGGATGATCATCAACAACGATTTTAAGGTACAACGCATTGGTAATATTCATAATGAATATATGAGTAATTTACATGAAGTTTATGTATAAAAATTATAGATTTATTTTTTATAGGGCGATACAACTTGAAAGTTTTTCTAGGTCCGTCTCTAAATACATAAGTTTGTAATTTTTAGTTTGATATATAAGGAACATTCATTCAACAAGGTTGTACGACATCTATATTTGAAGTGTCAATTTAAAAGTCGAACTGAACTCGTGTGAATGCTCGTTTCTGGATTACATGCATACAACTTCATAGTATCGATTTTATATGTATTAATGTTGTTTTGATTGTGTAGGTGATTCCAAGAGAGGCAATGAGTTATAGTTTGGGTAAAACGGAATTTTACATAGTATTATGCATCAATGCAATATTTTGGCAATGCTTCTTCTTGGGAGCCATTGGAGTAGTGTTTTGTGCATCTTCGATGTTATCGGGGATCATAATCGCTGTATTGCTTCCGGTAACTGAAGCATTGGCTGTGGTTTTCTATAAAGAACAGTTTAAGGCTGAAAAGGGTGTGGCTCTTGTTCTATCTCTTTGGGGATTTACGTCTTATTTTTATGGTGAGTATAGAAGCATGAAAAAGATGAAGAATAAAACACAATCTTTTGATGATGAATCAATGGAGTTGCGTGAAATTAATTCATCTTCAATATGATTTATATGTAGTTTTTGTTTCAACATTTTGTTTATTTAATTCAAGCTTTGAGTATAAGTCTATTTGATCTTGTCCAATTGGTTTGGTGCTGTTTGTCTTTTCCTCCTTAATCAACATATATACATATATATATATATTGAGCTTAATAGCTGATAAATTGCTCAATGGTACTGTTTGTTTTTTGCTTAATTTTTAAGCAATGCTTAAGTTCTACAATCTCGTCTTGATCTTGTAGAATCTCTTTTAATTAGTAGATTTTACTTTATGCAATCATCTAATGGAGAGGAGATGCATACTAGATTCAAAGTATGTTCACAAATTATAATTCTATTTTTTAAGATTATGTTTATTTTGTATATACATTCAATTGTGTGTATGTTAGGATAGAGGGGGGAAGAGAGAGGGGAGAGATGAAAGGAAAGGAAAGGAAAGGGAAGGGAGGGAGGGAGGGAGGGGGAGGAAAAAGGATTTTTTAAGATATATTAGATTTTATTTTTCATTATTTATTACGATTTAAATTGGATCTGAAGAATTAGAAAGTTTTTAAAAGAAGATATATATATATATATATATGTATGTATATATATATATATGTATGTATATATGTGTGAGAGAGAGAGAGAGAGAGAGTTATTATACAACTCTTATAACTTAATCTTAACCGTCCATTTAATTTGATAAATATGTGATGTCATAAAAGTTTTGATTGTTTCTAATATAAAGTATTGATCATAATTAATGAACTCTAATCATCTTTCATAAATATTCAAATCATAATAAATGAACTTTCATCATTTCCATAAATATCTCAATTGATTGAGTTGCATTGGTACAAATCGTGCAAATCATCCGTATCCGTCGATTTTATTGTTTAGTTTTGTGATAACTGGGTTATCTTGTTATAAAAATTGGGTTGGTTTTTGAATAAAGTTGGTAAGTTGGGAGAGTTGCATTGAAAGCAGTGCTAGGGCATCCGACAATCTCTAGATAAATGCCCCGGTTCCCCGCACCTATAACATCTTCTTTGAATCACCTTGATGAATAATGTGACATCTTTGTCATGGTCGTTCACTGAATCATTGAACTGGACGATTTTCTGTTTTTATAAACTTTGGTCTTCTAAATTCTGTCAAGACCCTTCCTATTTTCTCTTTTCTACCACTCTTTATCCCGCTTGCCTGTTCTTATTTATCTCCGTAAGTTCAATTGCATCCACTATAGATGGGAACGTGACGGGATTCATCGCAATTACAAATTCCCTAATTGAAGGTTTCAATCCCCAAATATACCTTTCAACCTTACGAGACTCTGATAATATATAATACTCAACAAATCGAGAGTATTCAATAAACTTTTCCGTATACTCCCGTACAGTTAAATTTCTCTGTTCTAACTATAAAAAATCTTTTTCTAACTGTCTTATTGCTGCTTTTGGATAGAACTGTTCTTTAAATCTATCTACAAACTCCATGCAAGACATTGATTATAAAATGTTGGGTTTTGCTAACGACTCAACTTTCCACCAATATAAAACATTTGATTTAAGCATAAATACAATGAATCTGACCCGATCTTCATATGAATACTTACTTGTATTAAATACCGATTCCATTTCTTTTAGCCAACACATGTCTTTTATGGGATCTCTTTCTCCAAAAAAATTTAGGGGTTTTACACGTCAGAATCATCTTAATATCACTCCCTTTTGCATTTGAAGATTGAACTTGTGGGTTAATTTCTACTTGTTCAGCTTCTACTATGGCAGGTACTCCCAGAATAGAAGTCAAGGTATTTCGTAATTTGCTCATTTCTTCAGCGAACATATCTCGAGTAATGTACTTAGGATGTTCAATTAGTTCCTCATTATTATTTTCCTTGATCTGGATGAACCTTAGGATGACTAATTCGCCATTTTCCTCGTACTCTTCCTCTACCCCGACCAAATGGTGGATTCTTGGGAACATTTTATGGTGAACTCTCTCTTTTGTCCAGGCTTATAAGAGCAATACTTTCAGACCTTCTGGAGTGACTTGCCATATGACAATTTTTAAAATTCAATATTTACATAATCACATTCCCCAATATAATAAGGTATCTAAGCACAAGTATGTACTTGTAAACCCATAATTACATTGGTTAGTTGTAATTTGAATTTACCTTATATATCGTTTTTTTAATCCATCATATTTATTTTAAAAGTTATACAAATGTCAGGGATCCTTAGTATGCAAATAATACAGTTTAAGTCTAGGAATCATGCAGAATACCTAAATCTCTTAAATTAAAACTCTGATACAAAACTAGTAACACACCATATCACATTCACATATAACTCATGTATTTCACATAACATGAAATTCAAATATATTCCAAAAGTTCAATTTGCTACATTACAAAAGTAGCTACAATTTTTTTTTTCATATAAGCCCAATACAAGACTTGTAAAACATTAACAAGTTTCAAGTACAAATAACATAACATCTTCTAAAATCCATATATGTAAAGCAATCGGTAAATATTCACATTTTCTTTTTCCCTTATTCTCCGATTGTGTCTGACCTATAATGCACATTTTAAAAAACAAACTAAGGGTTAGACCATGAGGTATAGGGAGAAATCCCTTTGGATTACTATTACATGGTGAAAATCACCAAAACACTTTTATAAATCTCATATTTGTATAAATAACAAAATAAACGGTTTTTAGTTCAAAATAAACCTCCAATTTGTTTGGATGCGATAAACTCCACTTATCGCACTAGATTATACGATAAACTCAGTCCTCGCATCTCAAGGATGCAATAACACCAACTTATCACATCACACAGATGCGATAAATCTTACTCATCGCAACATTCAAATGTGATATTAGTTTTCACATGATCAAAAATCTCATTTTTACATATAGAAGATTCTGTCACCCTTATCCCGGTATACATCTCTCCTGATTATGCCACTCTTATCCTAAAATACGTCTCTCCTGATCATACCACCCCTATCAGAAAAAAAAATATTTTTCCTGATTATGTCACTCTTATATCAAAACATACCTCTCCTGATTATTCACCATTATTCCAACCAGTTGATATTAACATAACACAACACAAAATTATGCATATAATCATTTTTTAAATTATCCCACGTATTGAACCATATGGTTCTGTATTATCATAAACAAATGATGTTTTTAAGATAAAAACTCACATTATAAACACATATAATGATATCTCTGAACAATAACAAACTATCAGACTGAAATTACGTAATCAAGTTCTTCATCCTTTTTCTGCTTCTATGTTATTGGATCACCAAGAACACAACAATGTACCCAACTTTTCTCTTTTTACTTGTAGTAAACAAATATCTCAAATTAATATTCATTAAATATATGAGGCGGTGGAGTGTTTAAGATATTAAACACATTTTCCAAAATAAACCCTTAACTTTCTTCACTTAGCAAAAAAAAACCCCCAACTCTTATAACTTTAAACCCAGTTATAACAATTTATATGTGACAACAAACATTTTTCCGATGATTTTTGGTATATAAAAGCATCATATTATGGTTGACAGCCGCCACATTTTCGTCTCTTCCTTTTGTTTGTTTGCAAGTCATGGAGTTGGTAGTGGATGTGATCATGTATAATTTCACTTTCTTTTAAATTTCTATTTAAATAATTTTTTCCCCATTTTTGACTTGGTAGAATATATCTCACTTGCAAAATTACGTCTGCAAATTAATTATAATCACGTCATTTAGTTTGAGATTAGTATATCGGACATGACATGATAAAATGAGCTAAAATTCATTGTCCCATGTTTGGTGTATCATGAGATAGGACAAGAACTCACTGTTCTATGTTGACGTGACATCGGACATGCACAAGAACTGAGATAAGGTGGAACAACATAGGACAAACAAAGTTTTGTTTCCTCCATCAAAATAGGTCAAAGAAGATGTGATAAAAATAAGACAAAAACTAAAATTTTAATAACTTACACTCATTATATATATAACATTAATATGATATTTGTTTTAAAGGCCACCACCATTGGCAGCCACCACAGACCACTGTTAGCCTCCTCTTTGTCTACAACAACCTCCTCCATCACCTTCACAACCACACCACCACTACTACCATCGTCGATCACCTCCACCTCCTCCACTACAACAACCTCTTCCACCACCTCCACAATTACCGTCCATCGTCGGCCACCTTCACCTCCATCTCCACCATAACAATTTAACCACCACCACCACCACCATTGACTACCACTACCATCACCACTACCTCTATCTCCACAACCACCGCCAGCCATCGATCACTACCGTTGATCTCCACCACCACTAGTACTTGTTGGACAACAATACCACCATTGACCATCACTACAATTGCCCACCACCACCTCCACCACATCGGCTACAACTACCTCCACCACCACTATCCACCATATTCACGTCTTCCACAACTACTGTTGTCTACCAACCACCACTGCCTTTACCTCCACAATCACTATTGGTACAACAATCTTTACCGAGCCTCGCCAATTGATAAGGATTTTCTAAACCGAACAAAACATAATTTTTCCTTTGTACGAATCGAGTTTTTTTGAACTACCAAAAATTGTATTAAAATTTTCATTCAAATTTGGTACTATTATATATGTATGTATTTATATATATGAGAAAATATTTATAAATTCAATTATTTAAATATTTAGTCATTTATAACTATTATATAATACATAGATCATCAAATAACTTTTAGGATATGTACGATCCTAGTCGTACAAAACACCAGAAAGACATTTGTCTTGTTTCGTCCAATCGTGTTCAGTCTTATCTAATCATGTATGCGTACCAAACGCTACCATATCAGGTAAGCATGAAAATGAATGATAATCTTAAATGAGAAGAAGCATAACAAAAACCTTGAATCTTATAAGATAAGTGAGGGATAAGACTTTTACCCAATTAATGTTCATCGAATTAGAGACATATATGATCGTTGGCCAAGAATGTTACCTAATAAAGTGAGGATGCATAGTGACTCTTGCCAAAAATTACTTATCTATTAGACATTTAGTAAACACTTCCTTAAACTTTCAATATCTATGCCTTTTGTGTCACATAATTTTCCATAGGTCACCAAAACTTCTCTTCAAATTGTGGCTTGAAAAGTCATGCATACTCATAAACTAGAACTTATATAAATCGAATCTAAAAGCACGTACCATCTCGTTTTATATAAAAAGGGTATTATTTTTAACCTAAATAATCATTTCTCTATCTTAAATTAGTCTCCTAAGTCCTAACCATTTAATTTATCTCCCCCTTTTACCAAAATGTTATTACATTCGTAAGTGACAACTCCTCAGGTCAAAAAATAAAGAACTTTCTGAACATGATCCACAAGAAAATAGACCAAATCTGCAAATTTTTCATACATCTGTCCGACCTGTTTAAATAATTTTACACTTTTGGCCTTGACACTTGTGGAGCATGTTCAAAAACTTCTTTATTTTTATTTTTTTAACCCCTCTTTAAATTGAGGAGTTGCCACTTGCAGATGCAGTGACATTTTTGTAATCAATTTTAGGAGAAAAATGATTTTTTATTCAACTTCCCAATGTTATTTAGGTCATTTTTACATCGATAAATTAATTAATTTCTTGATAAACTTAAAAAACCTTTTTAGATAATTTTTCAGGCAATAGCTAACAACTAGATTTTGAAGTGTTGAATTAGAGAGCAAATTAAACTATTTTTACCAACAAATATATAAATATGACATTGACATAATTATTAAAAAAAACCAAGTAATTTCTCACTCAAAAGTAGTCCTAGGGTTTGACATAATCATTTATGCCATGTATATATAAAAAGGAGATTATTTTACATGGATTCGCTATCAATTTAATTCTTTTTTCTCAATATTATCTTAATCCTTTGTGTTTATAATTTTGCTATAGATCATTCATGTCATTAATCGTATTTATTATAAATTCAAATAATCAAACACATTAAAAATTTAAACGATTTGATAAAAATTCTTAAAAATCATTATGTATGTATAAAATGCTGTTTATTGATGTATATTACTTAAAATTACAAGTACAATTTATTAGAGCTTTATTTTTGAATTTGTGTAACTAACTATATAGATACATATAGTCATATACGAGATAGACATCTCATTTTGAATATAAAAAAATCTAAAATACAATTAAAATAATCATTAGTTATAACAAAATATATAATTATTATCTTTATAAAAATTATATTATTAGACGATAAGTAAATTACTTTGTTACTAAAACTAAATTAAATTATAAACAAAATATTAAATTAAAGAAATTACAAAAAAAAAAAACTTCAAATAGTAAAATTTGATACTAATATCAATATTCTTTTTCCAAAATTTATGATATATTTAAGTTTATATTTTATTCAAAAATAAAGATACGTTTTCTCAAAACCATTAACAACCATATTATATCAACATAGATAAACAATAAAAAGAAACATTAAAATTAAGATGTATTTTGTTATATTATGCGAATATCCTTTTAATATAAGTATAAACCTCTTATTTAATTGATTTAATAACTGCATTTTGAATTTAAAATAAACAAAATTAAGCACCCATCCTTGACCTTTATGGCTTATAATAACTGTATTGTTAAACACTAATATATAATTCTAATTGTAAAAGTTAATCATAGAAAAAAATATCAAATGATCACTGGAATTAGAAAACAAATTAAGAAGAAGAAATGCAAACAATCGGTAACTTGTTATTGATCAAATTAAATACAAATCTTTGAATTGAATGAAGGTGGCCTATCGATCTAAAAGGATACAAACATGAAACTGTTTTGAGTTTCAATTCACACAATGATTTATGAAACAGATTTATGTATTAATTATTCAGAAAAGGGATTCACTTTCACACCACCACTTGTCATTTTTTATGCTGCGTTTTCTTTTGGTATCTGCTCGCCCTAGTGTTGACCGTAGCTTGAGTGCTCTCCACCGTGACCACCAGCGCCGCCGCCTCCGCCTTCATGACCGTGTCCTTCGCCGCCGCCATGACCATATGGAGCTGCAGCCGGAACCAAGATCGGCTTCTTCTTTCTCTTTGCCAAACAGAAGAGTCCGGCGGCCAAGAATGCTAGGAAAAACACACCACCCAGCGATGCACACACTGCAATGACGACGGTGTGGTCGCTGCCGCTGCCCTTTGGTGGTGTTGGTGGTGTTAGGATGTTTCCGGACGGTGGGACAGCATTGTAAGGCTGCGGTGGGCTGGCGAAGGGTGGATATGAAGGTAGAGGAGGTTGTGCATTTGGAGGCCAGGTGGGAGTACTTGGCTTTGGTGGTTTACTCGGACCACCGGGAGTTGGTGGTTTTGGTCCTTTCGGTGGGCTAGCCGGACCGCCAGGTGTGGGTGGCTTCGGTCCCTTGGGTGGGCTAGCTGGCCCGTATGGTGTTGGTGGTTTTGGTCCTTTAGGTGGGCTGGCTGGCCCATACGGCGTTGGTGGTTTGGGTCCTTTAGGTGGGCTAGCTGGCCCATACGGTGTCGGTGGTTTTGGTCCTTTGGGTGGGCTAGCTGGCCCGTATGCAGGAGGTTTTGGTTTCTCAGGACCAGGAGGACTAGCTGGCCCACTGGGTGTTGGCGGTTTGGGTCCTTTAGGTGGACTAGCCGGTCCATGTGATGGTTTTGGTGGTGTGGCCGGAGGGTAAGCTGGTGTTTCAGGAGTTGGAGATGGCGGTGTCTTATGATGATGATGATGACCGTGCTTTGGAGGAGGAGGACATGGAACCTGAGGTGGTGGTGGTGGTGGAGGACATGGAACCGGAGGTGGTGGTGGTGGAGGACATGCAGGAGGCGGTGGTGATGGTGGGGGTGGCGGAGGTGGTGGAGGAGGACATGCGGGTGTTGGTGGTGGTGGTGAGGGTGGAGGAGGAGAATAGTAAGGATAAGCTGTCGTTAGTTTCCTTGAACCAGCCATGGTGAAAAATATACTTTTGGTGGTATGATGGTTAGACAATAAGTCCTTGTATATATATCAACTCGAAACCCTTCTAAACTCATATTATGAGTTGGTATACGTTATGATTATATATATATATAGAATGGCTACTTGGCTAACTACTACGTTGTCATGATCAACGAAATACAACTCGAAATATAATATAATTGATTGATTTCCTAAAAAAAAGGATTGGATTTTTGCATGTGATCCCATCCAATTAACTTATAAATGGAATACTTGTATACAAATATTAGTTATATATGTAATATGTAATATGCTTGACAGCAGTCCCGCTTTTTGTTTTTTTTGTTTTTGGTTTTTGGGTTTGTGGGGGTAGGTAGAGTAGTCAATGGTCATATCCTATCCAGTAGACTTAACTTTTCTTTTTTGCAAATAAGAAAAACATGTTTGCTTTTTATGTCGTGTTCTCAAACTTTTGGGGGTAATCTTTTTCGAAATTTCAGAATGGGCAACTCAAATGGTACGAGGTAGGGTCATCCCATTTCCTGTTTGATTAAGATGACATTTCTTTACCAAAACTCAACCCTCTATATGTATGCAGTATGTATGTATGTATATATTTATGTATGTATGTATGTGTGGGGAATAATAGTGTGAGTACACATTTTGTATTTGTTCATATGCGTATCAGATGTCAAACTTATTTTCTTATCGATCTTGTTAGGGTGATTGAAACCGATATGAACCGTAATGCTAACATATTATTTTTATGTTTTTGAAGTTGGATGCTTTATACAGAAAGAAGAGAAGCCAGGCTTCCGCTTAGTATATTTATGTCATATATTGAAGTCGGTATTTCATGTTTTATATGTTGAGCATTAGAAACCAACTTAACTGTTCGGTTCTTCAACTTATGAACCTCAACCAATTGAAGCATTGAAACCTAAGTAGCTGACGAGAAGATCAACCGTCGAAGATACAATTAACCAACAACTAACGAAAGTTGAGCAGAAAAAGGCAATGCTCAACAAGTATATATTTCAACACCTAAATACTCCTTTTGGTAGATTTAGAGTCTGAGGCAAAAACCAAGTATGATGTCTAGCGGGTGAATTAACTCTATCTTATTCATTTTAATTGCGAAAGGACACCCAGACTGTGGACCCGCAGAAAGTGTCAATTAATACAATAATATTAGACTGCTTTTAATTATTTGTGTTATAAACTAGTTCGATATGTATGAATGTTGAATAATTAAAATTCAATCTTACAGACTTCCATTTTTTTTAGTAGTTTGGTACGGGTTTAATGTTTTGAATGATTAAGATTTTGTAATTTTGTATGAATGATTTGAAGTTTACCCATCTAACGTTGTTTGGTAGTTTAATTATTGTAATGCCTTCCTAGGGGTTCAAGAAGTGTACTACATGCTTCAACGAAAGCAAAGCAGATACACGCATCCAACAAATCAAATTGACTGACTTTGACATGTCTGGTGATATTTATCTGGATGTCCAGTTTTAATTCGGACATGTCTTTAACTTGATCTTTTTTCGGTCCGGTTCTTAACCAATCTCATATGTCACAGTTTTTCGATCCGATTTTCAATTCAGGTTCTATTTTTAATATGTTTTATAATTTCTAGTCATAAATACATGGTGTAATAATTAAAATAGTAGGGGTACAGATTTTTGGTCAAACTTTGGTACATATGACTAATTATATTGCAATTTGAGGCACATGATAAAAAAAGTAAAGTGAAGATGCCCTACCCCTACCCTACCTATGATCTTGGATTTTTCCTATGAATCCATCACTTTATATGTTCACCAAACAAAATGTTTTGGGTTTTATTTTATTGGGACAAAATTTATTATATGATTTTAACTTGTTAAAACATTTTTGGATAAAAATAATAATCATTAAAATAAAATTGGGTTTATAAGATATCTATAATATTTAAATATACTAATAGAATACTTTGTATGACTTTTGATTTATAGGAACAAGCAATAAGACGTTCCATATAAAAGTGTTACAAGAGATTTATATGAACATTTTAGCAAATTTTCGGGACATTTTTAGAATAAAGTGTCGTATTAATTTTTTATAGAACACTATTTGAAAAATGTTCTATAATAAAAATGGTTTATAGGGCATTTCTCAATTTGTCAAATAAAATAGTTAATAAAAAAACTAACAAAAATCTATTGTAACACTTTTAGATATGACATTTTATTGTTTGTTCATATAAACTAAAATTCTATAAAACGTTCTATTAGAACATCTTAGACGTTATTACAAATATTCAACCCAATTCTATATCTTATAATAATGAGTTTACTAGTTTAAATTAGAGTGAATTACATTTTTTTCCCATCATCTATGCCTGTTTTTTGGTTTTCGTTCTTTTAATTCATAAAGTATAGTCTTGGTCCAAAAATTATGTTTTTAGCATAAATGAGTCCCTCCCACTAACATGCGTTAGAGGCGGCACAATTAAGTCCATCATGTGTCCCTCAATGAGTATTTTTATCTTTTTTTTTCTTCAGAAAAGAAATATATGAATATTTTATATTATATAAAAAATAAATATAAACGAAAAAGCCGTCCAACACCCTTTCTCCGAGAAACCTTCCCCACACCCCATAGCTGCAACATCTCATGAAATCGTCCCCCACCCCCTAGACTTTCTTTCTCCGAGGAACACCACCTTCCAGCAAACCCCCCCATTTCTTCGTCGAGAGTCTGTCGTTGCAACAAATCAACACCACCACGAATACCACCAGTTGTCGCACCAGATCAAGAGCACCACCAAAACTATCACTGTTCATCCCCTTCTCGCTTGAATCGTCCCTACCTCACCACCGCTGTCGTATCCACCACCACTACCACCCACCACCGTCTCGATACCTTTCCTACCATGCCACCATGCACCACCTGTCGTTGCACCACATACTTGCTCTGGTTATCCATCATCGAGACCTCAAACATCGGTCACCACCTCTACCAATGTTGTCCATCATCAAGACCCCCAATATCTAAACAAACCCCCTCTTATGAATAAATTCAAGATCTGAAGCACCCACAAGATGACGACTATGATCCACATTTGAACTGCACAAGAAACAAGAACCAAATTCATATATGAAGCGCTTGCGAAACGAAGACCAAATCCATGCTTGTAAAAAGAACCAAACTCGAAATCTAGACCTCTTTAGGGTTTGATGTTGAAATCCATATTTGTATAGAGTTCTGACATAGACATTTGTTTAGGGTTTTGATTTCATGATTGGATTTGTATAAATTCGTATAGCGTTTGAATTTAAAGATATGACTTAAAGTTTTGATTTTTAATGTATCACGTATCTCATGGATGAGTCTAATGTTTTTATGATATTTTTATATGAATCTAATATGTTTTTAGTTCGAATCTAATTTGGGTTTGAATATTTTTGTATGAATTTTTGAATTTTTCTGGGTTTGAATCTGATTTAAGTTTTGGGTTTGAATGTTTAATGGGTGGTGAGTGGTGATGTGTGGTAGCCGATGGTGAATATTATTGAGGAAGAAGAAAAGGGGTAAAAAGATTAAATTGCCCTAATGTGAGGGGCACATGATGGACTTAACATTGCCTCGGTGTTAATGGGACTCATTTGAGCTAAAACAACATGATATTTAGACCAAGAATGTGTTTTATGAATTGGAGAGACGTAAATCGAAAAACAAATATAGACGAGGGACCAAAAACGTAATTCACTCTTTAAATTATAATATAAACAAGACTTGATTAACGTATATACTACTCTTTTATATAGTATTCAATAATTTTAAAAAACAAAAGTCGTTAATTAACTAATGTTTTATCATATATTGAAATTTACACTTAACAATATATTTTGAATATATTATTTTCTTATATAACAAGAATTTTTTTTATTATAATCCTTGTGCCAAATAAAAAAAAAAGTTAATAACATTTATTTTTTACGTTAAATTCTGGCCAAAGTTTACATACTTTTTGTGATGAACTAGTATTTATAAAATTAATTTTATGCTTTTTATTCATGATTATATAAATATATCTATTTTCAAGCATTTTTATAATTAAACATTATGTAATTAAAAATCAAATCAAATGTTGTTTTTGACAGCGTTTTCTTTTCTTTAACACATAAATCAATAATTAAATTCAACTAATCTTCCATGTCCTTTACACCCCCCTACAACACACACACACACATATATTTATATATATATATATGTGTGTAGGGGGATATATATACATATAAATAAATTCATGCATGTGAGAGTGATTAAACATATTAAAAAGTTCATGAACTTGCGTTAAAAGTGAAAATAAATGTATATTAATGTAGTTGAAGGTTGATGAATGTAATTGAAGATACTAAACTAGTTAGGAAAAATAATTAAATTATATTAAAAAGTTAACTTATTCAAAAACTTAAAAGAGTTATCGACATTTTCACCATAATTCCTATCCTTAAATATATATATATATATATATATATATTCAAATCATAATAAATGAACTCTCATTATTTCCATAAATATCTCAATTTATTTGGTTGCATTGGTTATACAAATACGACGGGTTGTATTTGAAACAAACTATATATATATATATATATATATATATATATTGAGTAAATAGTTTCTAATAATGTTATAAACATATTATAAATGAAAAAGAGACTAAAATAAGAATAATGATGGATGATGATCCAGGCATGCCATGTGCAAAGTAAACCAGGTTTGGCGCCAAATTTCTCTACATTTGGATAAGAGTAGGTACCTTTGTGAACGACATTTCCACTTCAATTATATATTTTAATACAAAAAATATATTTTTTTAATTTTTAGAAAGTATAATAAACACAATTTTTAGTAATATTTTTTTACAATTAAACAAAATACTCCATGTTTTAGCATTATATTTATTTCTTAAGTCTTAAAATAAATATCCATAATAAAAATAACATATTATTTTAAAA